CTTCAATCAGATTTTAAATAAATTCTCTACCAATCATTCTGTGCATTGGTTTAACTTCTTATTTTTTTGTTTTTTTATTCTCCTTGCCCTTACACTCACTTTTTTTGTAATTTGCAACTTCAGAATATAAATCAAAATGCCACTTTAGTTTAGAGGAAATAGACACTGATAACAGTAGCTGCACACAGGAAGGAAGACATTGCTTTTGCTACGTCAAATTTCACAGTTTTACATAACATAGCAATACCTGCCACACTGGAATTATTCCCATGATTTTAATCTTTTTATGTCCTCCATGGATAGAATATCTAACTTTTTCTCATTTAATCCCCCCCCGAAGCCCAGTCTATTTCTAGTTCTCCTCCTAATTTTCGTTGTGCTCCTCCGTCTATTCCCTCAACTTCTGGTTAACAGAGTAAAAGCAATAACACACCAATAACAGCTTCTACACCCCTCATCATCTCCTTTCCTCAGCCTATAACTCTCCTCCATCGCCCTTCCTCCATCCTTGCTCTTCTCTTGTCAGGTCAAAGCCCACTTGTTCCCTCCCTGCCCCTGCAGCTAATCTGACTGATGGCTCCACCTCTCTCCCTATCTATTCTTTCCCTTTTTCTTTCTTCTGACAAACTGGGGCTCCCTTCAAGCACAAACAAGCAGTGATGGATTAGACAGCCATACTGGGGGAGTAGAAAAATTTATTTTCTGACTCCCCCACTTACAAAACATGTTTTCGTACCACTTGTAGCGAACTGTAATTACTGATGAGGCAATCAGGTCGATAAATAGTGTGGAAAAAAAAAGAAAACATTTTTCAGATCTATCTTATAGGGTTGGGAGTCTTGATGGTTCAGCAATTCATTTTATCTGTTCAAACAAGGAGTGAGCTGGATCTTCCCTCTGTCATTTCTCTTTAGATTTCTTTCTTATCTAATTATGCATTATATATTTTTTCTTTTTTTCTCTCTCTCTTCAAGGTCAATTGAATCTGTTGAAGCTTTATCAGTAAAGGAAGCCTGTAGAAAAAAAGAAAATAAAACCTCAAAATGTTTTGCACTTAAAAGTCATTCAGCTGACACTGGTTCTGTATAAATCTGTTTGTCTGAGCATATTAAGCAGAACAGATATGAATTCCATTTAAAAAATGTGTTTGTTTTCTTGGTGGTTTTACTTTTGTACTATTTTCTTAATTTGAGCTGAGTTTGAAATTAAACCCTACCACTAACACTGGCAATAAAACAACCACAGAGGATGATGCTGCCACTACCATGCTAGACAGCTGGGACAGTGTATCCTTGGTTATAGAAGCTTTGCCTAAACTCTGCCCAACATCCTCCTTGTTAGTCGTTAGTAGTAGTAGACAAAGAGCTCAATCTTTGCCTCAGTTGATGATAACATTTTACTCCAGGAGTTGTTGGTAATTGCACATTTCAATTGACCTTGTGTGTGTATATCTTTGCGCAAAGGCTTCTTTCAGGTAATTTTAAAATGCTATTTTGTGTTTTAGCATGCTCTAACCCTGGCAATATCATTACGCTGCTAATAGAATAACTCAGAGCATTTCTACAGCTTGATCATTTAAGTGAGTCATAATAGCACATTCTCTGGGGGAGTGTTTGTGCATAGTGACAGAGACAGACAACAAGAGTGATGCAATTTAAAACAACAGCATTCCTAAACTGGAAGCATAGAAACATTTTTACGATTGCTGAAGTTTAAGGACATTTTTCATTTTGTCTTATGCCTCCTCTCTCTTCTATAACAGAGTTTTAACTCAGTGCTTTTGCAGTTAAAAATTAACATGAAAGTTTATATCATCTTTATTGCTGAAAAGCATTATTTTTAGATATTAAACCTATTTTATAGACAGCTGTAGCATGTAAATATCCATGAATATAATGTATTTTGCAAATCATAGATGTCTTGACTTACGTCTCCCACCTACCACAGTTAAAGGTAAAGAGGACGATCTTTTATTTTCAGGTGGATCGTCAAAATAAGTGGGCCTCTTAATTGTCAATCATTCTGGTGATATGTTTACGTAAGGCCGTTCTACAGGTTTTTTAGTTGCATTTATTTTTTTTAAGTGGAGAGGGCGGTCTTTTCAAAATTGTGAATATTTGATCCATTTTACTAATTCATCAATGAATAAACTGATGTTAAAAATGTATTATTTATCAGTTGAATTCGTATTGTAGAGTAGTGAAAACAGGAAAGTCCTTCAAATATAGCAGCAACTAGTGATATGAAAGTGCTGTAAATGTGTTAACAACTAGGTACCTTTTTGGGAGAAGTAACTAGCTGTTTGTTGCATTTTAAAACTTTATTCACTAAAGAAAAATGACCTATATTAACAAATGTATACCTTCTTATATTATTCCCCAAACTATGATCCTTAAAAAAACATGACGACATGCTTTTGTTTGGATATTAAGATTCTGGTGTTTACCTGACCATAAACACAAAGTGTTTTTGAACTGACATGAATCTTATAGAAATTCATAAGTCCAATAATAAATGTTGCAGGACCCTGCTAATGCTAATAGATATTAGTGGGGATGTGTTGTACGTACGCTATGTGTCTAAGCTTGCTTTTTCCTATGCTTTCTAGAATGTGAATACAAAATAGATAGATGTCTGTGTATGTCTTTGTCTAACCGTCTATTCTCCCTTCAGGATCATTGCATACTGTTCCTGACACGTCCTGTCTTTCCTCTTTAGGAAACTTTTATGGGTCCTGCCTTTTGTTTGAAGCATAACTAAAACTTTAACACCCAGACAAAAACAATTGGGAAAAAAATAACTAGAAATATTTTACTGTCTCTACCAGCAGGCCACAGAAACGTGTATGTTTCCAGTGCTGAACCCTTCCTGCATTATTCTCCTCGACAGCAGCAACCACAACAACGAGGAAAGCAGCAGTAACCCACTGTGAATCCTTTCTTGTGAGATAGAGTCACGTCTGCACTGTCTGACCTTCTACTTCACTGCTGTTTGAATAACTATGGTTCACTGAGGCTCGTCTTGTTTCACGCTGGCAGCATCTGCAACCAGAAGTCCAAAGATTGAAAGTGAGACATGTAAACTTGAACAAAGCCACTCTAACACCAGGAGGAGAAAGGTAAGAGAACTCCAATCCACCCTGTCTGGTGAATCCAGCCATGAGGTGATTGCAGACCAGATGCTTTTCTCAAAACAAAACTAAGTGGGAAGTTTTCAAAAACATAAACTATGTGGGTCAACAACCTCAGACAAATGGTAAGAAGTAGAGACAAGTCATCTAAAAAAAAAAGCTTAGTCAAATCAGTGTTTTTACTGAAATAAATAGTGAGAGAAAGTTATTGTTGAAAGATTACAATGATACTCCAGCTTAATATTTGTCACTTCCATATGGAGACACATTAGTAAAAGATGCAATTATAAAATGAAAGAAAATGGAACTTCTTTCATTTACATCCAAAAAACACCCTGTCGCCATAATGAAACATGGTGGTGGCAGCATCATGCTGTGGGGATGCCCTTCTTTGGAAGGGACAAGAAAATTAACCAAGTTTATTTAAAGAAATTATGGAACAGAGGAAAATTGTAATGGGAAAACGTCCTTACTAGTGCAGCATTGGCCAAGCCTCAAGCACATGGCTTCAAACACACAGGAAGAGTAGCAACTGATGCATCAAAGCGTTTTGTTAAATCTAATCAGAATCTGTGGTTATTAATCCATTAGTTGCACGCCACATTCTGTTTTTTTTTTTTTTGTCTTTTTTCAAAACACTAAGATATTTTTACAATTTTTTCCCCCCTATAAATTGATGAACTATTGTGCTGATTAATCACATCAAATCCAAATGAAACCCATTGAGGTTTGTGGCTGTAATACAGTGAAAATTGTGAAAGGGTCTGCGGGTAACCAATACTTTAGCAAAGGTTTATGGGACTTGTAGTGTTTCAGTTTGACAGAGCGTGGCATAAACAAAACACGGGCAGCATTCTTGACCCAAAGTGTAAATCATCTGTTTGTGGGATTTGCGGTTTGTGTGTTTTATGTGCATGTGGTGCTGAAGTGTATTCAAAAAACAAATTTATATGGAGCCTTATCAGATGTGCAAAACGTGGCCACGGGCATGCTGGGTGGAAATGTTTATGCTTCTAACAAGTCCGAACTGTTCTGTGTATACAGACGAGCCGAGACCTGCACATGTGTTTTACCAAATAAAAACTTGTATTTCTTACAACTAGTGTGCTTTCAAGTGCTTCCTAATTTTTGCATGTGTGTTTGTTTAAGAGCTGGCCTACATGAAAGGGCACACAATTTACCGTTCATGAGTTAAGGTACCGCATAAACAAACTAATCCACTGTACGAGGCTCTCTGTTTACTCCGAAAGTCTTCTGTTTACGTGAATAGCTGAGATAAGACTAGCCGCATGCCAGTCTACTTTTTTTTTTCTGCAGGCTTGGTTCTCCATGAGTTGGGAAGAAAAGGTCATGTGAGATCATTGCAGAAGATGTATGTGGGACAATAACATGAAGGTCAATGCAAGCATTTAGGCTACATTTAATTGTATATTTTACATCCTAATCTTTTCCACCGCTGTAAACTGTCATGTATATGCCTTTTTGCACATATTTCTTCTTTCTTCTAGCGCTGGTGTTTTTGTCCACCCGTTATTAAACCACAAAAGGCAGCGGCCTACTAGACTAGGTGTCTTTCTATTAAGGGAATCCTTCAAAATGAATGAAGATTGTTGTGTCCAGTGAGCAAGGTAACCAGGGGTGAAGCAGAACCACAAACACAAGGTGACCAGCCATCTTTCTCGTCTTGGTTGTAACGATAAGAAATGCTTCTTAAAACACCAACAGCATAAACACAAACACACACAGACTGGCTGAACTTCTGAGCCCAATTCCTGTCCTATGAAGCAGTCAGTGGCTGAGGTCCAGCTGTTGATGTAACCCTAGCTGCTAAGGTCTGATTGTAATGTGTTTGTCTTTTGTCTTTACTCACGCAGCTGGTCGAAATGTGTCTGCAGGCCGTCCGGTCCTGGAACTGAGCACACCATACGGGCCTTCTGGAAGGTGCTCCACTTATTCACCAGACTCCTCTGACCACCAATGTCATTCTGCATGAGAATTAAAAGACTCTAATTAAAATCAGTCCATGTATCTGCCAAGGAAACATAGTTTTAGGTTAAAGTATTAAAAAATTTGGGACAAATAATAAAGCAAAGATTTTAACCACACAGTTCATCATACATAAATATAACTTATGCACAACTTTTCATTGGTTTCCTATTTCATCCAACATTAGAATGTCCTAAAAAACTTTAATATTTGTTGTTTCTTATTTAAGAAAGTAAAGCTTATATACACACCATATAAACAGGTTCTTGTAATGTTGATTAATTAAGGCTTACAGAAAACTAAAACCCCTAATTCTATTTGTTAGACTAAATTTTAAATGACTTTGGTAAACATCTGCTTTTTTAATGTACTTCATAAGTAAATTCATTCCAACATTTTTTCCACCAGAAAAATTATTACATTTTTTAAGGTCTCATAATTTCCAAAAGAGCTTTAAGCTGAAAACTTTGCTCACTAAACTGCTGAAGGGTCAGACAAATACTATTCATCTCACTAACATAGGTTTCAAGTTAATTTTCATAGAGCTAATCTTTCCATGTTTCTCTTTTTCTTTAGCATACACTGCACAATGTACCTTAATGAACAAAAAAAAATAAAAGAAAATGAGCAAACAAGTTTAATCACTTTTTTTTTTAGATCTTTAGAAGGCCTTTAAAATTTAAAAAGAACTTTTGAAGATTTCAAGTTTAAATGAATAGAAAATTCAGTTTAAAAGACTTTGAGTCCAAAATAATATGTGTAGAAGTCCCAGACAACAAGAAGCATTGTGGTATGAAAGCAGGCATTTCATTCTGATTTATTCCAGTAGAGTCATGAGATCATTAAAACTTTTACAGACCAAATGAGTTTCAAAGCTAAACCAATAAAAAAGCTGCCAGTCGTTAACATATACTTTTAAATCCAATCCCAGTTTTACAGTGAACCAACAGACTGAAGTTGGAGACAAACCTTCAATTCTTTATAAACAAACTTCAGACAAGCCAACAGGGACCTTCAGTTGGAAACAGAGTTAGTGACTTCAGCACAGACACATTAACCTGCACGTATGCATTCACAGGCAAAACCTCCATGTAGACAACCGCTGATTTGATCTGGTTACTATCTTAACAGGCATACCTTGCAAACGCGTGCCACTCTGGAGTAGAGAACCTTCCCAGCCGCCCCCTCGGCCTCCTGGGCACGCTCAGTGAAGAACACGTAAACTTTATCATCCTCTGGGTTATCAGTTTCAGACAGTGGCGCTACCCGCACAAACTGGGCATCTGGCGACACACATACACAAAGACACCCAAATTACAGCGAATCAACTGTGTGACAGTGCAGTGGTGTGCAGGAAGACACACACAGCAAAGGGACGATAAAGGTAGAGGTAAGTTTACAGAGAGCAGAGATGATTGGCAGTATCGGCAGCAGACATCAGTGTACCGGTCTGATAAAACACCAACCGGGTGAACAGGATGCTTTTAGAGATGCTGATTTAGTTCATTTAATATTTAAATGAGATTAAGAGATGAAGTTGTAGAAGATGTTCGTTGGATCTGATTCAATAAATCCTTAGTGAGTTCAACCAACCAAATGGTGAGCTTTCCTTATTTTTAATGCTGTTGATGTCTTTTCAGTTTCATATGTCGTTTACACTTTCACAAATTTTCTTTTGTCTGTTTCGATAGAGGCACATTCACCAACATGTAGCAGATAAACTGGGATATGTTCAAACATGACTGCTAGCCGCGCCGTTAGCGTCATGATCAGATTAAACTTCATTTGTGGCCTCAGTAGGTGTAAAATGAAAATGCACATGAAGTGAAGCAGGAATATTTCTGCAGTCGCTATTGCAGTTTTCATTTGTTTTCAACAGAGGAGCAATCAGGAGAAAAAAAAAAAAAAACTTTAGCAATCACTAAAAAAACAACAATTTTGGTTTTGTTTTAAATATTGAGAGGAAAATTACATACGTAACCGACATCCAGAAAAGAACTGGATCTCAAGAAAAAGTTTCACCACATGCATCGTTAAGATAAAGGTGTTAAAGGTGTAACAGTTAATCGTTTTGCAGCTCTGTTTATTTCACAAACAGGTGCAGAGATCACACATGTAATTCACCCCAACCATCATGGATACAGTGAATTATTTCAGGCAAGGTCTCTTCAACAGAAAGCTAGAAAAGAATCTGACTTTTATATATTTTATAAGACCGACTCACATACTAACTTGTTTCTGAAAGTTAAACCTCACAAGAAAACCGGTTAAACTCAGTAAAACTAACTCCATGTTGTAAAAGGTTTTCCTCCACTCCCTTTGGATTCTAAAATGTGTTTTGGACCTTTGGTCTTTGGCACTTACCCTGCAGCCAGGTGGAATCGTACTGCTCTGTACGGATGACATGTCGACTCCCGAGGCTCCGGAAGAAAGCAGAGTCTCTGCTCATGAAATCTGAGGTAATCCCAGCGTACAACTCTCCATCTACACAGCAAAGCCATTACTTAGGATCTAACAGCTTTTCAGCAATGTATGATGATAAAAAAAAGCATTTTTACAGAGCATATCATGGTCCTCCTGTTGCAAATGATGATTTTTTCCCATACATGGGTTTTTCTTTTGCCTCCTACTAAGAAAATGCATCCAACTATCTAAAAATCCTAAGAAAAATAAGAGGAGGAAATACTTTGGGGAATGTTTAAATGCATTAATTTTTTAAAAACCGTCCCTAGCTTGCCTCTGTAAAGATTACTCCATTCCCCCTCCTGTAAAACCTCTGAATCTCCATTTCAACCTCTGAATGTTTTTTTTTTTATATATGTTTGTCCCTTGAAATAATTAGAAATAATTATCACCATCATCCAAAACCCAGAGTATTGTTGTGATTTTTTAAAAATCACCATTTATAGAGATACCTTGTCTCTTTTCACACTTTATTTTTAACTCAAGCCCTGTAGTTTTAACCCTATATTCTAATGAGTTGTCCCTCTGTATTTTCCTCTCTATAACTCACCAGTCATTTTTCAAACAAAAATATTTCCAAAACAATACTTTACTTTATTTCTGCAAGCTTACTCCTGCAACAAGTGTGGGAGGGGCCGTGATGCTGCAGTATTGTCTAAATGCCTGAACAGAAACTCCTTTCACCCCAAAACCTCCTCATAAAAAGGAATTCAAATCACAGGAACAATATCATAAATGAAATGGAAGCAGCACAAACTTATAGCGTTATCATGACAATGGGTACTTTGAGAAAATGGACATTACCAACAACAGCAGAAGCTGTTTTCTGGAAGGGGTCGTAGGGGCATTTTCCCTTCCCACACTCTGTCCGACCATAGGAGAGCGTTTGGTACTCTGCCTGAAAAAGAAAAGCCACACGGACATGATTAAAGGAGATGAATAAACCAATAGTTTTGAAGAAGTCCTTTTTACAATTTCAACATAACCCTATTCATTCAAACATGAGCTGCAAGTACAGCGAAGCTAATTCAACACACATGGCTGCTATTCATGCACACAAACACACACAGAGAGCAGCAAACAGAGGCTAATCAGGGCAAAGACAGATATTGTAAAATGTGTGAAGTCCAGACTTAAACCAGTCACCAGCTTCTCTAAGAACCATGTCTGCTCTGATCTCACATGGCCTTTTATGGGATTAGCTGCTCTCTGACACACATGCACCATCAAACACACAAGCAAAAGAATGCGCACCAACATGTGCGTTTGAAACTCTGAAGTCATACATCACATAAAGGTTTAAAAAACTAAAACATTTCCTACAAGCTATTATAATGATATCATGTATTATTTTATATAATGTGTTCTTTGTGTATTTTTGAAAATTAAGCACAAGGATACGGGTTTGTCTTCTCGACATACTTTACTTTGTATTTGACATTTAAATGTCAACTAAATCTCAGGTTTCTGGTGGGCCACACAGAGTTGTCATATTTTTTGAGCGGATGACATAAGGAAAACCCTGATGTGTTATGTGAGCATAGGGGAAGACACCACAGATGACATTTCAGCAGTTCATGATCCTTCATATGGGGGCTCATCTCACAACTAAGATGGTGGCAAGTAAGATCAGAGCCCTACCTACAAATAAATATGCAGTTAAATTCCACTTTTTTAGGCCTTTTCAATTCATAAATATAAATTAATTAGTAAAATCACAGGCATTTAGAACCCGTGATTTTTTTATTTATTTTTTTGTCCTGTTTCAACTAAGAACAAATCTTTTTCCGACGAACAGAAAAACTAAAAGAAGCACACTATTTATCTTTAGTCTGAATTAGAAGCATTAGAAGCAGAAGGTCATTTTTCCTTTTTTGTCTCAATAAGGTCCGGACAATTTCTGAGCCATTTTTACTTAATAAGAAGCGATAAACTAGATGGATGCCTACTTAGAGGCATTGTGGTTCATGCAAGAGGTGTTCATACAAACCCGTTCTTTTCAAGACAGACAAATGTTTCTCCTACTTTTAAGCTGCTCTCTTTTATGAAAATGTTTTACCAGTGCTCCAGACATGATGTAGGAGTCTTGTGCAATTAGTCAGTTGTTATCCAAACCTAGTTTTTCACTAAATAACTGCATTTGTTTTGCTTAGAGGCAACTGTCCTTTTTAGGCTACATTAGTGTATATTAAGCAAGCTGAAGTACCCAGAGAAAACCCACACATGCACAGGGAGAACATGCAAACTCCATGCAGAAATGCCCCAGGTCAGGAATCGAACCCAGAACATTCTTGCTGCAAGGCAACACCGTCACTGCTCTACTGTGCAGCCACATTTACAGCTCTTATTATTATTTATTCACCACTGCTTGGTTGTTTACTGGTCCTTTAATTCTGCTGCTCAGCTTTCAGTCAGCAGAGCCTCAATCTGCAAACCTTTACATTTTGTCTTCTTTGTTTGAACCTGCGTGATCATTCATTGAGGCGTGGGAATTCATAGAAATTAATAATGAGGAGTAATTATGCAGATTTACATTTAGCGGAATGTGTGCTCACTTACCCAGGGGGCATGCATCACGTTTAGGAAAATTATTCACCTTGATTTACGGAAGTTAAGAATGTTTGTTGAATCTGACGTGTCGTGTTGGTAAAAGCCCACGGTAGACAATAAAGTAAGAAAAAATTTACCACAAGCATACAAATATGTAGGATAAGAACCAATGTTTGGCTGGAAACTGAAACTTCAGTTCAGTCTTTAGTCTTCTGCAGTCATCTTTACAGCTCCATTCATCTTATTACCCGGTCAGATCATCTTCCCTGTTCCTGCTGAGGAAAACATCTCCCCAACCTGAATGTCATGGCGTCTTGTTCGGGGTGATGCAAAGTGTCGGTTTTACACCACATACAAGGGTTTGCATGTGATCCAAATGGGCCAGTGCTGATCTGTTTACAGATTTTGTGACTTCTGAAGATGACCGGATATCAGGATAAAAAAGTTAAGGCAGACTTTTCAGATTTCTGTTTGTAAAAAGTCTGGAAGATTACATTTGATGTTTTGTGACCTTCACACTTCTGCACAACGTCATGCTGTTTTATCAAGTCAAATGTTTCATTGAATAAACGGAATGGGTTTTAATGATTAATTACTTTGCAAAGCACTGCGAAAATGTGTCAAGGGGCATCTCAGTAAAACCCAGTAATTCTAACTTTAATAAGTCTCAGACACTAATTGGGAACAAATATATATATATATATATATATATATATATATATATATATATATATATATATATATATATATATATATATATATATATATATATGGTTAACTATAACAGCCTAAGAACCAAACAGGTTTATTTACAGTAACTTTAAGGGCTCTATTTGCTCTTGACTTGAAAATATGTACATAACATATTGACCAAGTCATAGTGAACTATCACTTACATAAATATACCATAAACGTGTGCAAATGTCAATGTGAGGTATTAACTAAAATAATATGCACAGGTATACTCCTCCTTGTCATTTTAACTTTCTAAGCAGCATATTAAGTGATCAATGTCTAAGTCTGAGTTAAATGTACTTTTTTAAATGTATGTGTTTCTGCATTTCTTACCTGGTGGAAGATGCTGGTGGCAATGAAAGCACAGCGGGGATTAAAGGCCCCGGTTCCACAAACATACAGGTGAGTCTGATTAAAAGGCTGCAGAACTCGCAGGAAGTTTGCACACTCCAGCTGTTCACAGAAAAAAACGGAGAACAAATAATTAAAGCAATGTGAAAACCTGTTTTCAGTTTCAAGCAACACATGAAACATTTGAATAACAATCTGTCTTCCTAAATGTGATGATTTGTTCTTCCCTGAATCTTGATTCCCCTACCAGCATTCAGAGTTTTTGTTTGTTTACAGTTCCTAAATGAATTGGATTCAATCAGCTTCACTTCCGCAGTAGATCATAATCTATCATGCGACTGTTTTGGGTTATTGTTGCAGAACATTTCAGGCAGGTCTTGTTTGGCAGTATCGCATTGCAACATGCAGTGAAAAATAAAATAAAAAAGCTGAATAGGCCTGATCTGTCAGTTGGAGATTTTTATCTGTGCAGCATTCTGATTGACAACACGTCCATAGATGATCTAAATGATGGTGAACTCAACTCCATTCAAGGCAAAACACTACTTCCTATTTAGCATGCTGCTGTTTTTGTTTAATCATGTGTGTCGGTATCTGTGAGTGAGCCTTGAATCACCTCTGAATCTTTTCCAGCCATTAGGCATTCTTGGACACGGTCCGGACTGGCTGGCCAGTAAAGCTACAGAGAAAGAGAAAGAGCAAAGAGAGGACAAAAAGTGAGAGATAGACATTTAAAAATTAGTTGTTTCTTTTTTTTTTTGCTCTGCCTTTCGTTTCTCCTCACTCTACTTTTCTGATAAACAGCAATTGGAAGCAGCAGGTGCTCAGAAAGGCCGCCAGGAAGGGAGAGCCAACAGCACATGACTAATCTGGATGAAGTCTAAGCAGAGCAACAGCTTCAGGGAGGAGAAAAATAAAAACCAACTGGCAAGCATTGATGAGTCCTGATAATGGGCCAAACTGTCAGGGCAGGAGGGACGGTGACAGCATGACTAATCTACAATTTGACTGCACCTGCAGAACGAATTGGGTGTTTCTTATTGACCAGCAGGCAATGAGAAGTACCCAGTAAGCCCAATACATAGATCTGTACCTGATGCTTTTTTTTTAAAGATTTATTTCTTTAACACAAAAAAAAACAGGCTCTACCACCACCTTCACTTAGCATTCAAGCTCTTAAGCACTTGGACTTGTGAGAAATATTTTTGAAGGTATAAACAACTTCTAAAACTGTCAATGTCCCTTGAAATTTTTTACATTTTTCAATAATGTAACCAAAAAAAAAAAATAAATGTGAGTATTGATGTAATAAATCTAAGACAGAAGGAGGTGCACGCTTTTCAGATTTTTATTTGTCAGTACTTTAAGAAACCTTTCAGATTATTTCCTACAAAAAAAAAAAAACTAAAAGCCAGTGAGATGAGATGGATGGTGTCTGCGAATTACTATTTTAATGTCTTGCACCTGAAATAATTCAGGACTGAGCTCTGACACACGAATCCTCTTCAGTCATTCAATCGACTGTGTTTGCAGCATCGTTGTCCCAGTAAAAGGACAACACCTCATTTTAACGTCCTCTGGATTTATTTCTAGGATTTCCATGTAATTAGCTCCTATTATATTCCCATAAGTAATAGCTCTCAACCTGAACAGAATCTCTGCAACTCCTCCAGATCCATAATTTAGCTTCTGATTGCTCCTTTCTTAAAAGCTATTGTTGATTAGTCTGTTAATGTGGGCGTGTTAATAGATTAGTTGTTATGTTTTCAAGGTTTTATAACCAGACTCCACTTTACACTTCCTCACTTTACTGATGTTCTCCAACCAGCCTTGGGGGCCTTTGAGGGTATCAAAGTGAAAGGTGACTTCAGCAAACACCTCACAAAAATGCAAAGTCTGGTCAAATTTTAATGTTTTTCCCACTTTACAATGTTGATCCATAAAAGTTCCCTGTAGCTGAATGAAATATAAGACTTTTTGTCTCTGTTGAAGTGTGTTTGTGTGAGTGTGAGTGGGGAGGTAAAGGATGAGCTCACCTTGTGTTCAGGTAAGACTATCATCCATGAAAAATGTACTTATAACATTGACATTTTCTAACCTCACCACTAATACAATCAAAACAGCCTAATCAAATTAAATGTCACATTTTTCTGCATTAGAATTTAATCTGTGTAAATAATAAAAAGTGATATTTTTTCCCACCCTTTTGGTTCAAATGAAAACAGAGAGGAAATAATTGAGCTCGAGAAAAAACTGCAGGTCAGAGAGAAAGAGGTGAATGCTCTTCCTCCCAATGGCAGCTACATGACTAATAAAGCTATTTCCCTTTCTCAGTCATTCCCTTAGAGACCAGAGTCATGAGGCTGAGTGGTAAGTGATATGTATCACTGCATACCACAGAAATGGCTAAAGCTGCCCTTAAAAAAACAAGAAGCAAACAATTTCTCTTTGAAGAAACAATTAAAAATCACAGCTCTAAAACTCTCATATTTATTGGCATTAATTAATATAAAGAGGCACCTGACCTCATGGTTAGCCTAAACACAACGCGACAGAGAGTTAGTTCTCCATGTAGAATATGTCATATATATTTAAAGAAAGTCATTAGTGACAAATACTGGTGGTTTTAGGAAACAATTTCAGAAGGTCCCGTAATGGTTCCCCGATGCAGTCATCCCCACAGAGCCCGCTGCGGAGCCAAGATGATCAGATTAGATTAGTGACCGCACTCGGCCTAATCTCCAGTACCACACACTGACAGGAACATGGACCACCGCTGGAAGGGTACCACCAGGTGAAAGCTGTGGTTAATGGGAATTTATCCCACAGTGCAAAGCATGCTGGTTGTCATCTCAAACCCCATGCTGGAAGAGTGAAACCTAATAAATCAAAAAAAAGGTGTTGAAAATGTTTAAAGTTTAGAGGAGAAACCAGAGAAGGGACCACGATTAAAGGAGGAGTCTGAAAACAAAGAGCCACAAAAACACAATGAAACCCGTGGTGACCTTCTCTGTGTAATGGAGGCTGCCAGCTGTAGACTCTCACAAAAATAATGCCTTGAGGGTTTTTTTTCCGCTGTTTTATTTATTAATTTTTTTATTGTAGCCTCATCAAAGTATGAGCCTTGGGCTGAGACGAACTGGAGGCATCAGTTACGTGTCAATCTGTTTGTCAAAATGTTTTTTATCATTTGCTTACAGTGCAAACATACAGTATTTAAATAAAACACTAAACATTTTAATCAGCTTTGGAATCCAGCAGAGGAAACTAACAGAAAGTTGATATTTTCACCATAATAACTGTACTTGGCATAAAAAGGTTTAAACAGTCTATAATTACTATACGTGGAAATGTGATAAATGTGAAATCCACATAAAGCTGATTGTGGGTTAAATCTATCTCTCCTTTCAGTGGCAGTGTGCCTGGCACAGTGGGTGGCTGGCTGGAATAACCGGTGGCAGTCTGTCCGTTTCAGGAGCTGTTTGTCTGCTTGCCTACCTGTTTGGCTCTCTGACGGCTTGCGTGCACCGCTGACTGATGAGGATATTGATTTGATCCGACAGGTCATGGTTATGAAAAGGCAGCACTGCCGCTGTCCTTGCTGTGACCCTGAACTCAGTCAGCCATTAACGTGTCTGTCTGGCAATTCGGATGTGGTGTTGGACCTGAGGTGTGAAACAGGATACTCTATACCTAAAATCTTCAACTTCATCGTTCTTTCAAACAGCTCCCTCCCCCGCATACATTTATGACCTATGAATATGAGATTCTCTTAGCCGATTCTGAATGTGTTGCTGTGTGAGAGTATGATTGTTATCCACATCAATGCCTGATGAGTTTATTGCACCAGCGCCTGCAGCATGGGAACAAGATCAGCTGGTTTTTAAAAGAGAACGCTTCTTGCCTCAGGGATTCGGGCTCTGTAGGTAAAAAGATTTACAAAACAGAGATTTTCTGATGCACATGTACGTCTTTTCATATTCAAATAGATTTTTTATAACAAAATGAAAAAAAACATAATTTCTGGTGTGTCAGTGCGTTTTTAATACCTCACATTAATAAAGGTGTGAGGCAGGGACCAACTGGCGGATTGCCTAACAGTTAAAACACTGGCTGGTTCATCATCTCTTTAGGTAACTTTCATAGCCGGACATATTTAGACTTTGGCCGAGCAGTTGTCTCATTTTGGTTCATCTACCAGGTCCAGTTCTTTTAACTTATGGGCAATTTCTGATTCCATCTTTATCCTGGACTCAAGTAGAAAATCTGTACTATGGATTTTTTTGTCAAGGAATATTTAAAAACTCAGAGTAAGCTTATAAAAGGCAGCCTTTTATCATTTCAGGTTCTTCACACTGACCTGCTGCTACCTTCCGAGTTGATCTGAAAATAACATTGCTCTGTATAAAGCAGTGCGTGATAAGAAATACTCATCTGTCTGATCCCCCAACCTAATATCCAGTTTCTCATTTTCTCTCTTTACAAAATCTTAATTTCTTGGTTATTCTGCACGTAAAACGGGTCTCAGATGCAGATCAAGGCTTTCAGGTTATGCCCCCCAAACTTCCTCCACTGTGTATGACTTAGTTTTATAAAAAAAATATGATAAGAAAGAAAAATATGCTTTTACTTTTGTCAATTGTTTAACAATGTAAATTTTATATTTTTAATCTTTATTTTGTAAAGGATTTTAAAAAGGAAGAATGGAGATACATATGAAATGACAGTAATGAGAAAGTAGAGGAAATTAGGAATTTAAAGTTGAGTTAATTAGAGTCAATTATTTTGGTTTTGCTTTTTGATTTAGCATAGTTACAGAATTCAAATTGCCAGTTTTTATTTAGACAAGTCAAAAAAAAAGTCAAAGTTAAAGTTAATGATTTAATGAGCACGGTTGATGCAGTAACATGTCTGAAAGCTATACAAATATGATGCAGGGACGGTGCTTCAACCTAGCTGAGAAGAAATCACAAATAAATATATGAGTTAGTCCCCAAAGAACATAACTTGGTTATCAGTGAATTGCAGAGATGGGAAGTAACAAAGTACAAATACTTTGTTACTGTACTCAAGTAGATTTTTCTGATATTTTTACTTTACTTTACTACTTATTTTTATGGCGACTTTTTACTTCTACTCCTTACATTTTTACACAAATATCTGTACTTTCTACTCCTTACATTTTAAAAAATTGTCTCGTTACTTTAGTTTTGAATCATTTCAATGGAGTTACCGTTATTATTTTTCACGTCATCAATACCAAATTCAATCTAATTGGATGGGAATCTACGTTGCATTTGACGCACCACTACAAGATGAATCGACAGATTCGGCGGTATTCATTGGCGGCAAATCATTGCAGCTTGGTGGCGGTGGCGTTAGCATAGTAGCATGGACGACGAGATGATTGAAAATGAACACAACGGAGATCTAGTCCTATTGGCAGACATCCATTTAAAATGTAGGCAACGGCATGAAAAAAGTGGTTTCTACTTTTACTTTTATACTTTAAGTAAATTTACAAGCCTGTACTTTGTTACTTTTACTTGAGTAAAGAAGTTTAATCAGTACTTCCACTTTTACCAGAGTATTTTTTAACACAAGTATCTGTACTTTTACTCAAGTACGGAAAGTGAGTACTTTTGCCATCTCTGGTGAATTGGAGTAAACAAGCTAAGCTTTAAATTGTCCCCAGCAAAACCAGATTAAATATGCATATGGCTTTAAATGCTTTTTTTTATGAATCTTTGAAATTCTCCAGAAGCATTTTAAATGCCTACAACAGTTTTTAAAGTAGTATAAGTCAAGAAAGAAGATTTTTTTTTAAAGTCAGTTCTTAAATTGATTTTTCAATAGCTTTTATCCGTTGTTTAACTCATTACAACACAAAAATCATCCACTATATTAGAGAAGCATCAAATTTATTAATAAATATCTTTATATTTGTGCATGGGTGCTGAGACAAGCAGATGAGTTGGTTAAGGTTTCTTCCTTTGCATGGTGTGTTGACATGCATATGTACTCCATGTCCTACCTTCCGTGGGTTCTGTGTTATGTCATCCAGACTTGTGGAGAGAAGATTATCTTTCATGGCCACATACAGACGCCTCCTGTCTTCATCCGGCAGCAGGGACTGGAGGTCTCCTGCATCCAGTGGCAGTGTTAGCAGCCGGCCGTTCTGAATGAGCTCTGAGAGAAAGAAGAGGAAAACAAATGTAACATAAGACTTACATGGAAACCAGAACATCTTGGGAAATGTATTTAACACCCACAGCTCTGGAGATCAATGGATGCATTTTTTTTTTTACGGTTAATGGCACAAAACATTTTTTTCTCTAGGCTTTAAAAGTTATTATCTCTGTCCAAATAAGGGCACATTTTGCAGTTTAGCTTTTAGAAAGTTAACAATGGTGAAGATAATGCTAAGTTAAAACAAATAGGCTAATAACTTGCTGTCACCCAAGAAAAGAAAATGGAAATAAATATATCTAAAGTAGAGGTGCAATGAGAAATATTTTGTTTTTGCTTGGCCTTCCCTGAGCAGCTACTAACAATCAGACACTAAAAAATCTGAGGCATTTCTGTTCATACCACCAACTGTATCCCTCTTCTGTGTTGAAGCTCTTACTGAAGAAAGGGTCAAGGTCAGCTATTTTCATAATTAGTAAGGATGCAGAGTAAACTGTAAGACAGGAAACTATAGTACTTTCCACTTTCATCAAGATGGAATAAAAGATGAGTTTTATTAAGCTGTTTACAGCTTATTATAATCTCAGGAAAGAGGAGCTTTTATCTTTTTGTGTACAGACTGCTGTAGACTGTTAATGGGAGTTGTGCTGATTGCACTAATCCCGTGTATAAGACATTAAAAAGTCAGCCACATAAATCAAACTTTAGAATAACAATAAACCATATATTAAAAAAGTGTTTCCTTGATTTATTTTTTGATTACTTCTGCGTCTAATTTAAATTATAAATGAAGGAATGTGTTAAACAAGAACACTGGAGAATCAAAATCTTGACTACTAATCCAGTAATGAAAATTTTAAAAAAGAAATTAGTGTAAGCAAAAATAAGTATTAATGTGTCAAAGCTTTTAAATTTGCCAAACATCAAGAAAAATTCACAAAACTTCTGATCAGTGCGTTTCTATGCTTAATTATCTGAAAAGAACTGAATTAAAACATAGTAAAAGGAGTTGCGCAAAACAATAAGCAACTATGATGCATTTTATTGCTTTAAAAATGATCAGATAAAAAGACCGACTTTCCCACACATTCAGTTTCTATGAGATGCTCATCTCCCTGTTTTTTTTTTTTTTTTTCAGCTTCATTTTTTTTTATCAGGCTGGACTGAAATGTAACTTTTACAAACACACACCTGAGCACACCATCTAGACAGGGTGTGCGATAACAGATTCTGAAATCGAAAATGATGAATGCACCAATACAATGCAATGCAATGATGAATTTTTTTAATTCATTACTGTCTTGCACTATGTAAACTATGAGAACTATGATGAGGATGATTGTTTGATATCTGAGCAAGGACACAATTTGCACAGCCGCCTGTTTTGTGTTAGACCTCGCATTGTGATGAACTGATTTATCTAGACTGATTTACTTCAGCGAATTAAAGTTGGCATCAAGAGCAAAAAGGTATCAGTTATAGCAGTGGGGGACATTGGCAGCTCCACATAGCACCCATAGTTACAGCCGGCTTATGAAACATGTTTGTCTAAGGAAAAAATTTATGACTTAAATGCGTTGAGATGGTAATTTCCACTGAACTACACTCCCTTTTTTTCATTATGACTCATTAAACCTAAAGAGACAAGATAGGAAAGTTGATGTGCTAAAATAAAACTATTTCTGCTTTGTGTGCTGCTGCATATAGGCTCCAGCAGCTGATTCCACATGCATTGCTGCTCAGAGCTCATAACCTCTTAACTTCATGATTTATCACCTTCCAAAGCAGCAGTGAGCTCAGCTCATTTTTGTTTAAAAAATTAGGTTTAGTTTTGGGCTCTCCAGACGGTGGGCAGTCATGTGGTGCCTGTTCCTCTGCAGTGATGGATAACACCTCTGAAACACACAGTTTGTTTCATCAGACTGGTAAATCTGAGCTGACACTGTGCTCTGAAGTGCATCATGCATAATATAATTAAGTTAATCTCCTTTAATATATCACAACAGACTGAAGTTTTGGCAAGAGTAGTTTCTTTGAAATGTTAAACTCTGGAGCTGTTTGACTAAAATTATACACGAGGCGACTTCAAATTGGATATAGAAAATAATTCAAGGTTATAAGGAAATTACTTTTTATGTTTTTACAGTGAAGAACGTTAAAGGCAATATATTCATAAACATGTAACAGGTAGGAGCTCAGAAGGAAAAGAAACTGTTATATTACACCAAATTCCTCAGTGATCCTATAGTTGCTGTATCTGCTCTTCATTGTAGTGCATTATATTGCTCTGTGCTGCAGTGTATACCCTTTATGAAACATAAAAAAACTTTGAAGATAAGGAAAAAGAAAAGAGAAAGGAAAAAAAATCTTACAGACACCAAAAGAAGTGGGAAGCTTGTGGTGGAGGAGCAAAAAGTGATGACACACTGAGAATAACATGCAGGGATAGATATAGACATGCCAAGCTGCTAAGATTGGGGTGAGAGAGGGGTCAGAGGCAACTGGAGAATATTTCAGCATCTAAACAGATGATTAATTTCTTCAGGTGGCAGCAGGAAATTTACATTGCCCTGATACCTAACAACCATGATGATGAATGTGAAAGGCAGCTCAAATGTTTCCTGTAACGTCACACAAAAGTCATTATTTCAGTGACTTGGAGGCGCTTCTGCTTTTTCTTTTTGTTTGTCACAATTAAATGTTTTAGATTATCAAACTAATATTAACATGAGACATAGTAAGTGTAATAAAGAGGGCCAACTTTGTTTGAGCAGGGGTTTTTGGTTCCTTGAAACATGAAATAAACCTTTAAAAATGTATTTCTTTACATTTAATTAGGCTATATGTCCCTGATATCACAATTTCTTTCTTTATTTCTTTATTGTGGACTTAACAACAATAACTTATATTCAGAAAGAATACATAACGCTAAAATAAAATGTCCTGCAATGGACTGGTGACCTCGCCCATTGACTGGTGGAGCACCAGCACCCCTCGCGACCCCATTCGGGACAAGCGTGTAAGAAAATGGATGGATGGATGGATGGATGGATGGATGGATGGATGGATGGATGGATGGATGGATGGATGGATGGATGGATGGATGGATGGATGGATAAAATGAAATGTTAAAAATTATGAATTTTTCCAAAAAGACAACATTTGTTGCCTTTCTTGAAGATCCTATTCTTATTCTGCTAACAGTTGGGCTCAATTTGTTGTCTTCACTGAATTAAAAGTATTTTTCTCCACAAATAAAAGCCACAAAACAGCTCATTATGTTCTGTAAAGAGCATGCAGAAATGAAATAATTTAAATGTCCTAATCTGAAATAAACCTTACATTTCTAGCTACTGTATTAATGATTTTTCTCCTGCTTTTAGTTAAAGCTGCTGTTATTAAAAAAAAAAAACTGTGGTCATTTTTGCACAACCTGGGCTACAGATATGCATTTTAAACGGACAAAAGAGCATTTAAAATACTAACACTAGGTCTTTCTATGTTTTTTCGTAAATTTTTTTTTAACAACAAATAAATAAAATCAAGATGATTAACTTCATTTCCAAGAAGCTTGGTTTGATTTGTTTTCATTACTTCAAGATTTATCAAAATGACAAGTTTTCACAACCCGGTCCAATTAAAAGGTTTCATGCTGAGGGCACATGACTTTTCCTTACAGTTCCAGGGTGGCATAAACTTCATTTCAGTCATGAAAATACAAGTTCATTAAGTTCAGGTTTATGACATCACATCTGAACAAGCAGATTTAAACCTCATGTTCTGGTTCTTTGCTGTCATTTCCAATTAGTACAAAAAAAGGACAGAGAAAGAAATTTAGAACTAATTTATAAATTCATATTGTTACAGTTGATGAGCAAAATAACACCATTTAAAATCTTGTTGAAATGTTCCTGTGTGGCTGAGTAAAATATGAATCATGCAATAAATTATAGGTATACTTTGTAACTTCTCAAAAAGCCTTGAGTGCTTTTTGGCCTTAATCTAAAATTATCAACAACATATTTTTCAGATGTTGAAATGAAACAATACAGCTTATATCTCAGAGATAAAAAAAAAAAGTTGCAAAAACGTTTTTATTTTTATAAAATGATTAAAAAATGATGTACCTTAGCATTCAATATTGGGTATTATGCTTTTGAGCTCATGTATCAACAACCATACAACCGTGAGATTGCATGGTTGTATATTACTGTACATGCAAAAGAGAACTGGCTGCTGGTTAAAATCTCTAACTGGTCATGTAACCCATGCTTTTCATCTCCACCTTAATCTTTGAAATTATTTATATGTCATAGATAAAGATAAACGGAGTGAACAACCACCAGATTATAAATATTTAGTTGTAAGGATATTAAAAATCTGCATGTAGAATGAGGTTAGGCTTTTTTGACATTTAGCTCTGTTTTCATTGTTTATTATATTTCTCTTTCAGAATTAGAATTGATTGTCATTGCATGTTTAAAAGACAACGGCGAAACAAAATGAAAGGTAAAATCTGTAAACTAATGCTACCCGCATGTCAAAGCCACACATTAACATGCACACCTCCACCTTCATACATGTACTATTGCACATGCCTGTAGAGTCAGCCAGATGTGAACAGGGAGAAGGTTGTGTATAGGCTGTCTGTTATCCTGCAGGGAGTGTTGGGCGCTAGAAGCAGTGAACCCTGCTTACATAATCATACATTTCTTCGTTTTTTATTAAAGTCATTGAAGGAGCAACTTTGTCCATTCACTGTAAAAAATGTAAATCTCAATAAGTCATTTTTTCTTAAATTAAGTGCATTTTTACTTGAATTAAGGAGGTAAGTGAGGCACTTTGCCAATGGAGCAAGACAATTTACATTTAAAATAAGATTTAAAAAAAACTATTGCATTGTCTTATTTCAAGTGCATAATATCTAGTTATCTTATTTTAAGAGTTAAAATACTAATTCCATTGGCAAATCATCTTAATTACCTACTCGAATTAAGGGT